AAAATTTCCTCCATCCACAGTAGCTGAAAGGTTCTCTTGCACAAAACCGAAATTAATCTGTATCAAAACCTCGCAGAAGCACCACATGAGGGGCGTGTTCCTGGTGGTTGATCCAACTAAGCTTATATACCATACCCCACGGGAGGATATCATCTTACTCTATCTTAGGGACAAGCGGGGCAACACAGAGGAGGGTCCTCAAAGTAGGGTACCCTTAGGGACCCTAAAAGTATATAAGGATACTGCAAGGGTAAAAGGAGCTCTTTTTTGGGACTATGTAAAGCTGACTTTGGGAACTCCGCAGCCCTAAAGCTCTAATACGTGCAAAGCATGGCGCGAAATCCTTAGCCCCTAAACCTATGGTCCCCCTTAAGTAAATAGTATATGGGGTATATTCTGGGTTATTATAAAAGAATATAAAAGACCCAAAACCATACTCTATCTACTTAAGCGGGGCTATAGCCATCCAGCTGGCATGGGCTTTTTCATCAGACAGATTTCGTTACAGGGCTCTGGCAACCCAAACCCTCATAATAATGGAGAATCAAACACGGGGGCTTCCCAAAATTAGGGCACCCTTTGGGGGTCCAAAATAAGGACCATAGTATTTTGGGGGTCTGTGTTCAAGGTCCCCCTGTGTAGGGAAGGTACCAAATGCACACAAAAATGGAATTGAAAGAAACCGAGTTCATGTAGGGGTTATTATCGGCTAGTGACCAAAGTTAGAAGACAAAAGTTAGAACCCTATAACTAACGCCTGACTAGACTATGCTTGGGGGAGCCCGAAACCCTGAACCGTAAACCTTAAACGTGCGTGGGCAAGTAGGATGCTGTCTTCACATGGGGGCTTCCCAAGCCCTACATATCCCTATAAAACCCTGTAAAAAAACCCTACATAACCCCTATAATATCCCCCTTTAAAGGTACACCTAGATCCCTTAGTACCGGGCACCATACCTGGGTCTGCACTTCTGCCGCCAAAGGCCACTTTCACGTCGCTGCGCAAGCTGTTTCAGCCATAACCCTTTTAGGGACTAGGGTTAGGGTTACCCGGCACCCAAAACCCTCAACCTATATGGTACACATCCCCCTTTGAGGAGTTTAGACTATAACGCTCAACCCTAAACCGTAAAACTTAGAAAAATCAGTGTCTATAGGGTTTGATAACTCTGGCCTCCTTTCAACAGGCGTGTAGAGGTTATGAGGGTATGAAGGGAGAGATTGGTTATAGAGATTGAGGTTCCGGGCTTTTTCGATTTTTTCGCCCAGTTTTTCTTGAAGGCAAGGGGTATGGTAGATTGGCGTCCGTATTGGCGATCCCTACTCTTGGAAACTACTATGTAAGCGCTGGGCTAAGGTTTAAGGGTTCACGGAAGAAGTGTTTGGAGTTCAAGGGCCTCATCGCGACCAAAAATTTCGGAACAGTGCCAGGGGAACATACTCCCATTCAAGAGGCGGGAATTTGAGATCTAAACCCGAAATCCTAAACCCTGAAGAATTGAGTCTGGGAGGGGTGCTTGAGGGATCTGCTTTGTTGAATGGGTGGGATGACCCAAAGTGGGTTTTCCAAAAGTTAGGGGCACGTTTTTGGGGGTCCCTATAATAAGGATTACAAGATTCTGTAATCTACATTGGGGTCTTCCTATTTTTGAAAAGTACCCTGTCTTTGAACCTCAATAACAGGACCCCACAATGTTTAGGGATTGAGGCTTTCGATTCAGACGTCTAGGCAGTTAGTGGTTTCAGGGCCAAACCCGAAGTCTAGGGCGGAAACTTTGGGATCTAGACTGGGTTGCTGTTAAGGAACTTAAATTAAGTTACTATATTGGGGAAACCCTTTTATTTACTATATATACCCAGTATGTAACTTAATTTAAGTTCCTTAACAGCAACCCAGTAGATTGCTAAGTGAGGTATCGTCTCTTAGTCTATCATGCAGCAGCGGCTTACGCGAAAGCCTCCCAGATGTCTTACTACCATGTGCTTGACGGGTGCTAGCCCAAGGAGGGTGGGTGACTTTGGCTTTGGGGTCCAGGATTTCGGGACCCTAAGTTAGGGTTTAGGGTTAAGAGTTTAGGAAGTTCAAGATCCTTCCTTTTCCCCCTTGGACGCGCAACCGTTCAGAACTTGGCAGCCCTAGTTCACCACAAGCCAGCAGTGGGAGGCGTACACGCAGGCTGTGCATAAACAATGCTACAACGATCTCTCAAAGCGGGGATTCCCATTGAGACCGGAAGCACGTCATTCTCCTGGCACGAAGCCCCTTGTCAAGTCTGTCTCAAATGCCATCCACCACCGGCCGTGCGCATCCTTCCACGGTGAAACTCCCAATGCTTCCACATAGGACACGCCCATGCATTGGCATCTTCAACCTAACGCTTCTGACTAAAGCCTCTTCTGAGGCTGCCTTCCTTATCATGTCAGGTGAACACCCATGAGTGGAGCTCTTGTGCTTGGACGAAGTAAGGTTACATGCTTCTTACAGAATATCATACCTCAAAAGAGGAGACATAATCTTACTGCCTATTTGAGACTAATCCTTTGGAGTTTAGGACTTTGGGTCCCCTTGTATAATTCAAGGGCCTAACTGATTAGACTAAGCTTTGCGGGTCCGTCATGTCACAGTCCTAGAAGGACTGCACGGGAACAATCTAGGAAACTGTTCGAGGTTCTACATTATCCCAAACAAAGCGGGCAAACTTATGAAGCTCTCCTCGGGCTGCTGAATAGCGCTCTTCTTTTCAGGGATATTGATGGATTCTTTTTGGGGGTTCTGCTTTGAAAGCGCAGAAAAGAAATCGCACTCTTCTTCCGAAATCTGTGTTCACTGATCCTTGGAGCGCAGAAGGAATTAAGGTTGAGGTTGGGGGTTTGGGGGTTTGAGGTGCTCGGGGTGTAGGGGAAAGGGTGTAGGAAAATCAAATGGGTTAAGGGTTTCGGGCAATCTCCGAATCAAAAACATGCATGGTCAGGAAATTGCGCCAAGGTGTATTATCGGTTCCCGAGTCAGCCCCCTACCCTTGTCAATCAAGGTTAATTAACGGGTAATCTTGCGGGTGCTAGGTGGGGGTGGGGCTCGGACAAGCCATGAGCGTAATTCCTAGGCGAGTGTGCACAGGAAGGTCGTGCCATCAAAGGCAGGTCTAACAGAGCCTCCTTGGAGACTCTAAACCCTACACCCAGTTCAGGGTTGAGGGGCTTAGGAGTCCTATCTCCCAATAAGCCAGGGAATGGAAAATGAGCAGGAGAATTGAATTGACCTCCAGGTTTAGGGAATGTACAGGGTGCAGAATGAGCTTGCAAATTGTTATATAGGCGGGAAAGAAGGAATGCAAAGGACGTTGAAGCACCTGTTTAGGGCGTAGGGCCTTGGGCTTAGGGAAGGGAAAGCAACATGGACACTGCTGTTGAGGGATGTCGGGTTTTGGGAAAAGAGAAGACCTTGCAAACTAGTGTAGTTAAGTGGATTCTACAGAGGCTCTGTTGGGATCCAACCCTCGATCCCCCGCTACCAGCCACTACTTGGAGGGTCAGTAAGCCATGTAATCTGTATTCAGCTGAGTTATCCCCAGTACTAAACCTACGTACTGAGTTGCCCCGACCCCAAACCCTAAACCCCAACTAATAAAGTAGTTTCTGTTTTCTTTTGCATTTTGCTGCGTCCCCCTGAGCCTTCAACTAAGCCTTGTTAGGGCTGCGGTTAGGGTCTAGGGTTCAGGGACTTGGCTTTAACACAGCAGTGCCCATACCCCGGAAATCTGGAAAATTGGGATTAGACATGCTTCTTGGAATTGTGGCAAAAGGCAGAGGCTACAAGACATGTCCAGACCCCCCTAGACTCCCAGACCGCCTAAAGGATCTGAAAAAAATGGCGCAGCATCGGCTGCAAAGTGAAGGCCTCTGCATACCCGCTAGAGCCGCTTGCCCCGGCAGCAGCCGCAGATCAAGGTCGCCCAGTAAAAACGTGTGCAGATGCACAGGCAGCTACTGCGCGAGGACACAGAGCTGAGTGGTTGTCAAAATGATGGTCCCTTTTTGGGTACCCTAAATGTATTATAATAGGGACCCAAAAAGGGACCAAAATTTTGACAACCAACCAGCTGAAGTTCCTTCCTCTGAGCTCCGGCTCCTCCTTGCAGTCAGCTCGGCGTGGCTTTCGGGGCGACTCTGCTCCCCCGACTCTGCCTTGGCGCTATTACAGCAGTGCCCACCTCGAGAGTGTTGGACGGCCCTCGGAGCCATAGCCACAGATGGTGCGATCTTGTTTGCTGAGACGGATCCAACCTAATTACCAATAATCCCACGGTTCCTTAAAGTAGTAGTGCTGATATTTTGGGGGGCTCGATTTCTTGGAGCCTTTGAGATTGTCTGAGTGCACCAAATCCCCGAAAGTTTCCCGCATAGATCAAAAGCACGGCTCAATCCCACATCCGCAACGCCTAGTCGCTCCACTGGCTCTCCCATATCCTCAAATTGCAACCCTAAACCCTAGACCCTAAGTTCCCAAACCCCTTAAGCTACGCGGATCCTTGACCTACTCCTGATGCCTAAGCCAGTTTAGCTTTTGCAAAAGAAGACCCCTAGACCCGAAGCTCTTAGGACTGAAATTCGTACGTTCAGGGCTTAGGGGCAACAACTCTGCACCCTAAACTCCAAACACGAAACTCTAGGAAGCCAAGGCTCATACTCATTCAATTGCCTCTAAAAACGTCGCAGTAAATAAGTGGGTAACTTTGCGAAATACCAGTGGTATCCATGAGATAGTTACAATACAAAGATTAAGCGTTCAGGGCTCAAGTCTTAAGATTCGTCAGCCAAGGCCCTAAACCCTAACCCTACATCCTAAACCCCAAATCCTAAGCCCTAAACCCTAAATCCTAAATCCTAAGCTTTAAGCCCTACATCCTAAACCCTAAACCCTAAGCCCTAAACCCTAAGCCCTAAACCCTAAATCCTAAACCCTAAATCCTAAACCCTAAGCCCTAAGCCAAGGCGCCACCCTAATGCCACCCCCTCCATCCTCCTTTACCGCTCGGATATGCCCCATCGTCCGGCTTAAAGGAGGTGGAGAGCTGCTCGCACTGTTCCTTGGGTTTGGGGGTTAGGGGTTTGGGGTTTTAGGGTTTTAGGGTTTAGGGTTTAGGGGTTTGGGGTTTTAGGATTTAGGATTTTAGGGTTTAGGGGTTTAGGGTTTAGGGGTTTAGGGCTTAGGGGTTTAGGGTTTGGAGATAAGGGCTTTTGGGGGGTTAGGGGGCTAGGATGTAGGGTTTCGGGTTGAAGGTTAAGGCCGTAGGGCTTTGGGTCTTGGGCTTAGGGTCTATGAAGCTAGGATTGGAACCATGGGCCACCAGTATCGGCCATTAGCGTGTCTTGCGGGATTCCTGGGGTCCAGAAAACTTGATGAGAGCCCTGGATCAAATTCGTAATATATCCCTTAATAGGTCCCCCCAAAACCCTACATAGTCCCCTATAGGTCCCCCCAACCTAAATCAAGCCTAAACCCTAAACCCTAATCCCCTATAGCTCCCCCCCCAACCTAGATTCACCCTAAACCCTAAACCCTAATCCCCTATAGCTCCCCCCAACCCCCTAAACCCTAGTCCCCTATAGGTCCCCCCCACCTAGATTTAGTCCGTAGGTCATATGGCGGGAGAGCAAGGACCCGGAGCTTTTGAGAATATGGCTTTGGGTATTTTTTTATAATAAGATCCCCATATACCCCATATTCAATCTACTCCGGTCGACTATACCCTAAACCCTAAACCCTAAACAGTAGTTTCCATTTCCTTTTCCATTATCCCAATATAACCCCTCTATAACCCTATATAATCCCTACATAACCCCATATTCTATCTACTTCAGGGGGACTAAACCTTAAACTGCGTGCTTGAAGCTTAATTGTCGAGGTTTGAGTTGGTGGTTAGGGGTTTAGGGCTTGGAGCTTTGAATTAGGGTCTAGGATTTAGGGTTCCAGATTCAGGGTGAGGTTTGGGGTATTTTTGGGCTTGGTGTTTAGGGTATTTGTTTCGGGGTGCAGTGTAGGGTTCGGAGCTTAGGGTCTAAGGTTCGAGGATGGTGGTGTGCGGTTTAGGGCAGAGGTTTACAGTTCAGGCCTGGAGGATTTTCAGGTGTGAAGTTTCTGGTTTGGGAAATTCGCCTCGCTCTCTGGCCAACAGGCGTCTGGAACAAGCTGACCAGGATCCAGCCTTCTCCCCCACACCAAAATCACGAGGCTCATCCCCCCCCCCGCCGGTCTCTTGGTCCCTCAAAAACTGACCCTAAACCCTATAAACCTTAAAATTCAATTTTTCTGGACCTTGGCAGGTAGGGGACCGTCTTGCCCTCTTGCCCCGAAACGGACGTGCGGTAGCACTTGCAATCAGTTTGCAGTTGGTGGCGTGGTGTCCGGATCCATTTCTTTGGGGGTTTGGGGTTTATGGTTCAGGCTTAGGGTTTGAGGTTTTGTCTTCGTTTGGGATCTAGGCTTAGTTAGGGTTTGAGGGGTTTAAGTTCAGTGTTCGTGTGAGCTATAGTCCGTAATTAGTACTTGTCCAGCTAAGTGGACATCGTGCAGAATTTGGAGTATTGAGCAGCCTGTCTTGAAAAGCAGAAAGAAGCCTACATCCACCCTGGGTTTTCCCGTTGTAACAACAAATTTCATAGCAACTCATGTAAGATGTAAGGTCCCCTACGATGATGTAGAATCTGGAGACCCCGTTCGGAGCTTTCTTGTTTCCATGTTGTCTTCGGGGTTCTTATATAAAGAAAAAAGACAATGATAACAAAGAAAAGTACATCTCAGTTGGTCGTAGATGCATTCCGCAGTGCTCACATGGATGCGTATACCTTGAACATGACAAGAAGGACGACAATAACAAGACAAAACATGCCCAGTCATGCGTGTGAATCCCCGTGAGAGTCAAAATACCTTGCAACCTAAACCCTACACCCTGAATCCTAAGCCCTAAGCCCCAAACACCCACACCCCTGCAAAGCAGGGTGTGGCATTGTGGAATCCCTGTGCGAATCGGCATCTCCCTAGAGTCTGGGGATTTAGGGATTTAGGGTTTAGGGGTTTAGGGTTTGGGTGATTTAGGGATTTTGGTGATTTAGGGATTTTGGGGTTTGGGGATTTTGGGATTTGGGTTTTGGAGTCTCCTTTGAGCTGAGACCTCAAGTTCCACACCCTTAGCCCTGAAGACTCAAAATCAGAATCCCTTAGCTCTAAACCTTTGACCCTCAATCCCACGGTCTAGGGACATAATTCCCGAAGCCCTAATCCCTGAAGCCTTTCGACTACAGGCAATTCTGCATAATAATTACCTCCTCAGAGTCCCATACAATCTTGGAATAACCCCTAAACTTCCATCTTGAGAAGCCCTGAGCCTCGAAACCTAAACCCTCTAAGCCTCTAAACCCTTAAAACCCTTTAAACCCTCAACCCACTGAACCCTGAACCCGAGACCCTGATCCCTGAAGCCTCTCTTGGATATCCGAGCAGCGACAGACAACGGCTCCATAGCATCCCAAACAGCACCGGTAGGCAGTTGCCTATTCAGCGTTCATGTAAGCGACACCAAGGATCTTTTTGCTAGTGCTTAAAGTGGTGGGGGAGTGGATGCCCATAACCATCCCTATACAATCCTCATACGAGGCCCTAAGCCCTAAACCCTAAATTGTTGTTTCCACTTTATTTTCCATTATCCAAATATACCGTAATAGTTTCCATTTTCTTTTCCATTATCCCCTGATTCCATAAATTAGGGCTCCCTGTATTCACCCCCTAAACCCTAAACCCTAAACCGTGCCGCTCTCCTTCAGCTTTAGCACCAGTCAGACATTGAAAGAGTTCTGGCACCAGCCACAGAAACCTGCTACGTAAGTACCTCGAACTGTATATCTACATATAGGGAGTATACAGGACTTATAGGAGTGAGATAGGGCTATCCAGGTCTTCTAAAGGGGTTATATGGGGTTATGTAGGGATCATGTTAGGTTCTGGCTTTCAACAGTAGCCATCATAGTCGACAGTACAGATCCCATGCCCTCTACCTCAAAGCTACTCCCAATCCCTGAGCAGAGCACCCTAAACCCTAAACCCCAAAAGAACTCTAAAACGGAACGGTTCACCATTGCTTGCAGGATGCCATCTTCCAGCAAAAGTCTTGCAGAAGGCCGTCTTTCTGTCTTCCTGTCTTCGGGTTTTAGGGTGTAGGGTTTAAGGAGATGTTATAGGAACCCCTTCAGGGGGAACCTCCAATCTTGTAGGATTCCCTTGTGGGAGTTTCTGTAAATGTTACCTAGCCATAATCTCTCCTCCTGCAACTCTCTCCCGGGTTAGTAGGGGCCCCTAGCTTTGAGCAGACCCATGCTGAATTGTCAGAACAATGTGGGTTAGGGTTTAGGTTTAGCATCACAAGAGTCATGACTAGAACCCGTCCTTTAACGGTTCAGGTCTTCGGAATCCATCTTTTCGGATTCCGTCCCCATGTTTTGCGCCGTATATCAGTATATCCTTAAAGGTGAGGGCTCCGTAGTGTGTAGGTAGGATTCAAGGTGAGCAGTCCAGGGGTTGGGTGATTTGGGTAGTGTACTGCATCTCCTTCATAACCCCCTGAGACCCTATTGCCACCCCTCATAAGTAGGTTCCCCAACCTAGGGCCCCACAAAGCGGTCCTGAGAGAGACTTCTTTGCGAAAACAAGCAAGTGAAGAAATCGTATATAGCCAAAAGCAACCAGAAGTTCAAAACAAAAAACAATCAAAACCCGCGCAAAAATCTGGACCTAAATCCTATGCAAGTTCTATAAAGCCTGTAAACCCTAGCCCTATTCCGTATGCAAGCTGAGCTACAGCCCAGAAGCCGCGATGCCGGCACGAGCTGACATAGGTCCTCGAACGCGCTTGAGAAGGTGCAAGGCCCTAAAACCCCAAACCCGAGAGCTCAGCATGTAGGGATTAGCGGGATTAGCAGTAGGGCTTAGGGTTTAGTATTTAGCGATCAGTGTTTATGTGGGTTTTGGGTTTGGGGATCAGGGTTTACGGATTAAGGCTTGGGGCTTGCAAATTTGAGGGGTCCCTTTTTTGGGACTCCCCATAACAAGGAGCGTATGTATATTGGAGTCGATACTGGGGCCCTCTTTTCCAAATTTTGCGAAAGCGCTCACGACGTTGGCTCCGCTTTTGGATGTGTGGACTTCAGCTACCATTACATGGTAGTTTCCCAAAATAGGGGGACCCCAATATAGACCCAAATATACTATAATCCTTATTATGGGGATCCCCAAAATGGTACCCCTAATTTCAGGAAACCCCCACATTTTCCAGGCGTAACTTCAGCGCAGAGTCCGCAACATCCAGGTCCAGTCTAAGGTTCATGACACATACATTAGGTGGACCCCCCCCCCTGTAATAGTGACTATAAGGAAGAGTAAGGATTATATCAGGGTCCTCTTGTATTCCTGTTATACCACTATTACAGGGTGGGGGGTCCTCGTGACACATACACCAGATAGATTTAGGCGTGCAACTTTCTGTGCCTGTCTCAAAAGCTGGGCAATTTCAAGGCTGTCAAATACAACTGCTTAAAACAGATACTCCGCTCGGGCGCCGCAGGATACTTTGAGATTATTGGGTGGCCATATATGTGGAACTGTAAGAATGTAGAGGAAGCATGGTTATGACCTCACTGGGGGATGTTCCTCGCACCTCCAACACTGACATTGTAAGGGGATTTTGGTAACCCCAGCCCTAAACTTAGGACCCTATGACTATCATATGCTGGTTACAAGGTGCTACTTTTGGGGGTTGGGGTTTACCAAAATCCTTTTACTACGAAATCCCAAATCCGAGCCTCAAATATGATTAGAGCCACTTGCTTCGGCCTAATGGTGCTAAAAGTGATGTGGGCGACCGAGCCCACACAGAAAATACCTTTATCACCCCTTCGTACTAATATTCAACAACCCCCCACCCCTAATATGAATATGTCCGCCAAGTTGTAAAGTCTCTTAAAAGGATACACTCAATATTGGGGGGGGCGCGTCACATATTAGCATGCAAGGATTAATCTCCTAAATTATAGCAGTACCTACATGCCCTCCCACCACCCACCCACGTGCCCCCAGTATGGGCCCTTAACCTTGTGGTCCTTGCATACCTATTATGTACCACCTAAAGCCATACAAAACCCTACAAGCCCAATTGAGGGCCCATACTTCGAACCCAGGAAACAGGCAGGGGCTCATTTTACGGGCCCATATAGTTAGGAGGACCCTGCCAACAATCCCCTGGTTCTCCCAATCCAGCAACGGGGTAGGAGGTCTGGATTACTCGTGGAATTTGGGGCTGCGCGTTTTAGGCTGTAAGACTAACGGTACTCCTGCACTTCAGACCGCGCTGGCATGGCAAGATACAAGCTTCTGCAGAAAAAGTCTCCATGTCTAGAAATCAAGCCATACTAGGCAGGGACAATTAATCTGCCTAAAGTTCATGATGCGGTGAAGGGGCTCAACAGAAGTTATGAGAAGGCAGCTGGGTTTTCAAGGATTCCTGGCGCAGCCTCCAAACTTCCGTTCCCACGTTTTCTAGGATCGCCGCTGTATCCTACTGGACAGCGGATCCCACCTTGGACTTCCAGAGAACACTAAATCCAAATTGAGCGGGTAGGGGATTACGTATTCCAAGTAATAGGCTGATTCAAACAAAGTATTTACGCTATGCATATTGATTGGCTAATCAATCAATTAGAAAAAGTAGTTCGAACTAACACTTGCGTACTTCGAATAAGCTACCTAGTTCGAACCAGCTAGTTGATTGGAATTAAGTCAGCATTTCGAATTCATGGACGCTGTGATTCGACGTAATTCAGTTATCATAGACACTATTTATCCAAGGTTCGTTCATATCCGGCTTAAAAAGTAAATAAACAAATACGAACTAATTAAGAGGTTCGCAATCCCAATAAACCATTTTCCATATGAATTCTTTTATGAAACTCATATAAGCCGTTATCACCGAGGAATGAGACAAAACCCCCAATTTTCTATTTGGTGGCCCCTGTTACTAGTAGTCTGCCCCTTTGAAAGTACTCTGCCAGGCAAGCGTTCAGTCTCCTGGAGAAGCTGTTTCAATTCTTGCAACGCTAATCCCTCTCACCTACGAAATGCACCCTGAACCCCAAGCAGTAGTCGTGTAACAGCTAGGCACGTCTCCTCAGCTGCGCGGAGACATTTGACTGGTTGGCTGTGCGCGCGTCGTAGTGGAATCGCCTTACTAACAGTACCACAGGATTAGTCGGAATAAGTGAAAAATCAGTTCTAGGGACTCTGGGACCATACACAGGGATCCATGAAAGTAAACTCCCTGCTAACCGCCAAGAAGGAGAGACATGAGGGAAGCAGTCACGGCTCAGGATTGAAAGTTTAAGTTAGGAAATAACAGTGATGCCGAAGGTGAGTACTGCACGGAATAGATGTGCAGGGTATGTGAGAAAAGGGACATGTGCTCCTATTCGGAAATACGTTCGGGACTGTATTAAACTACCAAGTTGGCCCTTATATTCACCTTACACCCTAACCCTCAATGGGCCCTTGGTAATGTTGATTTTGACAGAAGTTCGTAAGGGATCAAATCTCCAATCCTGAGCCCTTCTCTCTACCCTTGCCCTTGTTCGCGGGTGAGCCCTAATTACTATAGCACTGCAGGTAACTTTTAAACTCCATCCCCCACACTCCCTAAAGAATCCAACAAATAGAAACATCCGAATAATCCCCTATTTCGACACATTCTAGGCCCTGTCGAAAAAGCAGTGCTAGAATTGACG